GAGCTGGTATAAAGAGCTTGTAAATTGAAGAGTTTTGCACCTTGCTTAATGGCATAAGAGTGTATTGATAGGCCTAGAGAAGCTAGAGTATAATAAGAGAGTGTGCTCATGCTATTTGCTATGTCTCTTTAGGATGTTAAGTTGAGTTCTAGAAAGTTCACTTGAAGACAAGTAAAAAACAAGTTTGGGGGAGTTGATGTCTTGCATATTTCCATTATTTTATCCATTCATCCATATGCATTTTGATCATATAGACTAGGATTTAGTCATTTCTAGGTTGCATTTTGCATACATGAGTTCTTATCAGGTATTGGAGTATTCTTGGAGTTCTTGGAGGTGATTGGATGCATTTAAGGTCCAAACGAGGAGTTTGAAGTGATCATTGGACGAGTAAAGAGGGAGCGACGTTCCAGAGCGACCCCATGATGTCGCTCCCAAGCCAGAGCAACCCCCAGAGCGAGACGTCATGGTCGCTCGACCTTTTGACACTTGGTTGCAGGAGGAGGTCTTGGAGCACCGTCCTGGAACGACATCCATAGGTCGCTCCCATCCAGAGCGACGTCCATAGGTCGCTCCCAGCCCGAGCGACCTCCCGGAGAGAGGCACCTAGGTCGCTCGCCTTTTTATCAAACCCAGAAGCCGGAAGAGCCCCTGAAGCGACGTCTCGGAGTGACGTCCACAGGTCACTCCCAGCCAGAGTGACCTCCCGGAGCGACGTGGCGAGGTCGCTCTGCGTCATTTTCTTGGTCGAAACCTTGTATTTTCTATGGACCTTTTGGCCATTTGTTTCATGTTTTTACACTTCCTAAACCTAAGTTTAAGTACCCTTTTGTAGCCTACCAGGCAGTGATCTTTGATTTGGAGAGGAAAAAACACAAAAACCTCTTGGAAAAGTTCATCTCTTTTGAATCATTTTGATTGTTCTTGTGATCTTGTTTATTTCTTTGCATTATCTACTTATCTTCACATGATTAAGCTTGATTCCAGCATGGATTTGAGAGGAATCATGAAGATTAGTGAGTAATCACCCTTTGAGTTCATGGGATAGGGAGATTAAGGGTGATTAGGCTAGAACTAGGATGTTTAGTGTAGATTTCTCTTATTCATTGCTAGTAGAGTATTCTTAATGCACCTTTTGAGTTGGCCTCTCAAAGGTTGAGCTTTAGGAATTTCACACCTCACAAGGTGTTCGATGAAATGCCTGAGTCAATTCTCCTAAGCTTTTAACATACTTTACCAAAGACATTTGTTGTTAAAGATGTTAAGATGGCTAATAGACTTGTTCTTAAAGATTACTTCTGTAACATTCAACCGAAGACATTTGATGTTTGATTTATGTTAGTAAATGAGCATTCATCTAGACATAGATCTTGCTTAGAAATGTGTCTAGGCTTAAGGTTGATAGTTTAATTGATCATTTTCCATCCTTAGTTCGAAGTTTGATCACCCAAGATCTAATCTCTACTCCCATGGGTTCTCCTTTCTCTTAATCAACGAAGATATTTTAATTATCGCTTTTCTTATCCTTAGTTACAGTTTAAAACCATCATTTATTTGATTGCACTTAGATTAAGTGAGTATTTGCATTCTCAGTGTTTTAAAATTCCTTAGAATTGATTCGACAATCATTTATATTACGACATTTGTCTTAGGAGCCGGAAAACTCCTAACTTCAATTATTTTTATTAGCTTACTTATTAAATAATATACTTTTTTATTAACATGTAATTTTAAAAAATTTGATATTCCCTTTTACTATAACAATTAACATTTAAAGCAAGTTGTAAAATGTTAATATTTATTTTTTTAGTTTAAGTTATAAATAGAATATTAATTTCGTTTTTGATATAATTTTGGAAATATAAATAATTTTGTTCTATAGAAATATAAAATTAATATAATGATGTGTCAAAATACAATTGGAAGTTTTAAATCCTATGTGCATGTTCACAACAGTTTATAGCTTTACCTTTCATATATAATAGATTTATATATACATTTTTTTTATTAAATTGGAGTCTCTCACGTGATGGAATCGGAAAGTTCTGGTGGGTTTGGATCTTCTCTGTTGGCTGCTATCTTATTAGAATATACTATACTGCCTCCGTTTCAAATTATTTGTTAAAATTTCGTTTCAAAATAAGTGTCGTCTTAGAGTTTCGAGGCAAAATTTATTAATTTATATTATATTTAATTTTTCTATTGGTTGAAAAGTGGTTAGGTGTATAGGTAATTGTGTTTTTATCTTGAAAATAAATAAAATTAAATGTTTTCTTAATCTGTGTGTAAAAACCTAGAATGACAATTAAAATGAAACGGATGGAGTAGTTAACAATGAACCTCAAGAATCTCCTTTTCAAATTACTTATATACCCCTCAACTTATCTTGTTGGACCAAAATAGAGTATTCTCTGAACTCTTCCATTTCAATCTAAACACACTTAACGATAATCATAAACGTACGTGAACAATAATAAAAAAAAAAATAGAAGGAACCAGTACAACTTTAAGCATATACGAAGATTGGATAATCACATAGCAAATTTGACAAGAAAAAAAAAAATCTAATAGCAGATAAGTTAGCATCATCAGCTAGAAACTTCAACTCCTCTTATATTGTGAAAAAGGTTATTTCAAAAATGTACTTTAATTCTCTTCTTGTAAAAACGTTTTTTTAATATATTTTTTTTACGTTTTTTAATATCAATTAGGATTAAACCCATTCTACCAGCGGGTGTGCAAATTAATAACTTTTATATTTTATATTAACCATATTTAAATAATTTATTTGTAACTGAAAATAACTAATCTTCGATATTTGTTTTTGTTGTTCTTGCTAGAAAACACATACTTGTAAATTTTTTAATTAATGTAATTATTATTTTTTGTTATGTTTTATTATAAAATAAGGAAATATTGATATACCATGATTTTGACCCGTTTTTGTCATAATTTCTATATGTTTTTATTATAATTATCTTTGTTTTGGAGTCTATTAGGTATGTTTTCAGGTTCAGGAGCATTTTAGTGTAAAGTGATGATTTAGGTGCCTTATGAAGCTTAAAGGAGAGTTTTACAAGTTGACTATGAAGATCCGACATTGAGAGACACATATCGATCGATACACACCTTGTGTAATCGATCGATGACGATTCCGTAGAAGTTGAAGTCGAGATACTCCATCGATCGATGTACGCAATGTACCATCGATCGATACAGAGAGTGATGAGCAAGATTGACTTGGCTCACCAAATTACAAGACTGCCCCTGACGAGTTTTTAACCTAATTGTACTCCATATTTATAGCTATGCCTATGAACCCTAGAAAGACAATTAGATCTATTAAGAAATTTTGTATTCTATTTTTACCTAAGCAATAAAAGTATTTTCTTTTCATCTTATTCTTTTGCTATGAAACTCTTGGCTATGTCTGAGTAGATTCATCTGTTAGATTTGGGGTTCAAATAGTTATGAGGGATTAGCCCCAACTATGGATTGTTGAGTTGTTATATTCATTATTCAAATGAACCCTAATGCTTACTCTAGATTTGCTACCTAGAGTTATGATTATGGAGTGACTAATCTAATAGTCATTTCCTGAAATCATTTGGCTAAACCCAGACTCTATTAAGGCTCGATGCGACAGCCGGTCTGATAAAAATTCTCGGGTGAACACAGTTTCAATCCGATATGATACTTTATATCGATCGATACTCCTCTAGAGGCATCGATCGACGGCAACATATATCGATCGACACTGCGATAGCAACATCGATCGATACTGTCGGAAATCAGATCAATGGACGAGTCTAATAGCGACAGCTATAGATTTGTCTAAGGATTGAAGTTCTCATATATTTGCAAGCAATTCGTTAAGACATCCGTAGATTTATAATCCTGATTTTCTGAATATTAACCTTGAATCTAACTACTTTCTTTCATTGTTTTCAAACCCAAAACCTATTTTCCTTAGCAACTTACCATTGCTACCTATTTTTATTTACTGTTTTAAAACCTTTTTAACCTAGCTTAATCACTTAGGATTATATCTTTTGTGACTCTAGTTCCTTGTGGATTCGATCCCTAAGTACTACGATTGAACCTCTTATTTGAGAGAGTAAATCACTCCTTAGGGTTAAACATTTGAGTGACATCAAATATTCACAAACTTTTTGAATCCAATTCATAAATAATTTCTTTTCTCCATGTTATACATTTGTTTTAGATTTTTTGTTCTATAAATAATTATTTTTTCTCTAATAGTTGATCCGTGATTTGCATGAATTTTTTTTCTATTAGATATTTTGTTTAACACTTGTTTTATTTTGAAATATTTTCTTATCATTATGTATGAATTATTTTATTAAATTATTATTTGTATCAGTTTCTATTAAAATTATTTAATGCTTTGATATTCGGTTTTACTCTCGTTGCAAACACTTAATTTCATAATAAATTGTTGATATACTTTAGTGAGACTAAGACTGTTTTTATTTTGGAACTATAGATCTTTTGGTGCATTGTCTTATTTTAGATTATATAGTTTGATTTCTACGGTTATTTTTTATCTTATTTTATATAGCGTCTTTTTGGTTTTACAAATAGTCTATTTTTGATTTTCATGTCCATATTAAATTTGTGTTTAAAGATTTCTGGGAATTCATAACATACGATTTCTCTTTTATAACATTTATTTAGATATACGATCATCTTTGATCTCTTGTTATCATATTAAAACTTTTTTATCGTTTTTTCATTATTGTTTTATCTGTTATATATTATTTTATGTTTTTAACTAATTGTTATTGAAGTCTTCTTTTTAATTATGTATTATTTTTGGTTATATATTTTTATTAATTTCTTGTTAACAACTAGGTACCAAATTTTATCTCAATGTGTTCGTCAGCTACTAATTTTTCTAAATTAAAAGTTAATAATGAACACACAATGCCTAGTACTTATAAATATAACGTAAGATTTCGGCAATATCGTATTTATACCTTATACCAAGTTAGAAATCTGAAATGTTCAGTAGGTATGGACCTAATAGATTTTGTTTGGTTAACTAAAGAAGTTCTATTATTGAACCGAATGGAGAAAGAGGCATTCAACATCTGGAAATTGAGGTTGTTGCGCATTACATCGAACCCGTTCAACATGTAAATTGATCCTTTGCTGAGACGCTGCCTGAACATGAATTGGCGGTTCGCATTAGCAGAACCTTGAATAACCGTCGACTGTTAAAAATGACTAAAAATGAACCTCATTAGCAGAACATTCTCGTCGATGAGGAGCATGTCTAGACTCATGAACTCACCGCCTTTCCTCACATTTTTGGCCTCTCAGAACCTCAGCAAGTGAACCTCAGTGGTGTTGGAGTAGCGCCCAACTTTCAAATCGGTAAAGAGGATGGAATAAATCACCAATGTAGCAATCAGAAAGTTGAACAAATTTTTCTTCTAATGCTCGTCGAAACTGTGTTGTTCATGTCAGCAAAAAGGATATTTATATTTACGCCTCTACATGGTTATTTTTGAAATGCGATGAGGTGGCTTCAATGATCCTGAATGGATTAATCACTTAGAAAATAGGCGAAAAAAGAATGTGAATCAAGCGTGCTTCGAGACGTTACGGAGAGTTGATAATTTAGTCTGATACCTACAACCCTCATCGGCTGATCTAGGGATCTAAAACGAATATTACGAACAAACCTATAATTAAAGGGTCTCTATAATCCGAAAGTCCAACGCAATCTATAACAATAAAAATCTAAAATAAAATATGCATCTTACCGATAATATTTTTTTTCTAAAGCCCAATAAATAATTTCTTTAACTTTAATGTGGTGGCACATGACAATTTTGGTCCCGCATGAAAAAAAAAATCTCAACTTTATTATAAGATATAAAAATGAATGGTAAAAAAAAAATTTGATATTTTAACGAAAGTAGAAAATTTGTTAATTTGATATGTTTTTACTTTTGTATAGTTATATGATACTTATTTTTTGTTTGATTTTATTCTTTTTTCATAGTTACACTTCTAAAAAAAAAATTTTCCTTGCTCTTTTTCTTTGAAAAGATTTATCAAGTTTGGAAATTAATCATTGAATATTTAATGCTTATTTTATTCTGTCAAAATCATTCTGAGATATTGTACTGAAGATGTTTTTACATATATTGTGGGTAGTTGGATTTTATCTTTCGTTTTTGACTTTATTCACTAGGCTTTATTCGCCCAATGTACAGGTTGAATTTTCGTTAGTATGGCTTTGTCATGGTTATTTGGTTAAATTGTTAAACATCTTCAAGTTTGTTTGTTTTTGTTGTCGGTATTTCTCATGTTTATCTTTCAAACAAGGCCAAGTTTATAATTTAACTAATAACTCAATTTACATGTTAAAAGAATCTCAATGATAAAAACTGTAGTCAAGAAGATAGAAACAAAAACTATTACTCTCTATTCTATATCTTCTTCTGTTCAACATAGTGACCTCTCCTCATTGTCCCTGAATGCTCCACTACCCTGGTCCTGTCTCCATCACTGCCTCTGCCGACCAAAAACAAACCCCCGTTCACCACCTTCTAGCGCTCTCTTCCTCTGGAGTCGATTTTGCTCATACCCTTCCCTGTTAGTCCCATTTCCCTGTTATTTATTTGTGTTTAATCTAAGATGATGTATATTGAGATTAGACATTATTTTTTTAGTGGATTTAGAAGAAATCTTCATAACGAGATTAAAATGGGAAAATGAGCATAAAAGAGATTTTATAAACTTCATAGTATTCATTACAAAGATGGTTCTCTCTCAAAATGTAAAGTGAATCTAAAAAGCTCTTTGTCTAAAATGTGTTTTAGATCTAAAATTAAAGATCCATCCTTTCTTAAGGAGGAGGTGCATCTTTATTTATACAAGAAAGAGATCTAGAGTTTTTAGTGACTTTCTTCTAAATGGATCCTGTTTATTGTCTCATGAGTCTTGTTGAAGGTTGCCAAACCCATCTTCAACAATTTGTATTTAAAAAAAAGTTTCATCTGAAATTATTATTTCATTTTGTTGAAACAGGGGTCCATTACAGTCGCATGGTTTCAGCTTTTGAGCGATGGACAAGAGATGAGTCAACACCTTCCATGCCCCCATATGTCATAGAGGAGATGTTTCCGATCCTTTAAACCTTTCATGAGATATCTTTCGGCATAACGAAACAACTTAAACCTGCAACTAGATTATTCACCTTCTCATAAGTAACAACAAACTATTTCTTAATCAAGTTTAACAGCTTGTGAGTATCAACCACATGTTATGGAGTTACTTAAGCAATAAGCACAAGGTTTGTTCTTTCATAAACATGGAGAATCGCAGCAAGAGAAAGACTAATAGATTCAAAAAAAAACTTCTTACTGCACTATAAAGTTTCAAACGTTTTGTTCAAATCGATTACCCATTTGTTCAATCGGCGAAAAGAGAAACCCAACAAGATTCTAAATGAATACGAGATCATGAATGAATCAATCACAATGTGTATAAAACCCTAGAACTGGAGAATTTCTTTTTGAAAAAAATAGTTCAGTTTAAAATTATATTTTAGATATAAGTTAAGTTAAAACTAAGTATAACTAATTTTTTTAGGTAAATAATTAAAATTTTGGGTATTTGGATATATCTATTTGGCTCTCTGTTTGGATTCGATTTCTTTGTTTCCAAATTTGTACGTGATTGCGTGAAATAGAAGAAAGGTTTTGTGCTTTTCACTGGTGAAGGTAACCTACACATTGCTCCATCTCTCTATTCTTTGCCCTCAACTTCTTCTGTTTCTTATTCTTTTTTTTTTTCTGCTTCTTATTCTATGCTTTAAATAATAAACAAATAAGAGTTTGTCTCCATATTTGAGGTGCAAAAAATGGCAGAAGAGAGGTCGCTTGAATATACACCCACATGGGTCGTAGCGTTTATCTGTTTCATCATCGTTCTCTTATCTCTTCTCGCCGAACGTGGTCTTCATCATCTTGGAAAGGTATATACATCACTGTCTACCTTGTAACGTCCTCTCTTCTTCTAACTACTCTCCATTAATGTCTTTGTCTCAGTGTCTGAAGCGTAGGAGACAAGATGCCTTGTTCGAAGCCTTGCAGAAACTTAAAGAAGGTATTAGCTTCTTCCTTCAGTTTTTCCTCTGCGTTTTCAAACTTGATCTGACCAAATTTGATTTCTTCATGCAGAGTTGATGCTCCTGGGGTTTATCTCTTTAATGTTAACGGTGTCTCAGGCCGCCATAAGGCATATATGTGTTCCACGAGCTCTTGTTAGCAGCATGTTTCCTTGTAAAAAGCCCCTGGAGAAGCATCATGCTCCAGAATCATCTCATACGCTTAGACATCTACTTTCCACAGGAGCAAGTCCAGATCAATGTGCTGCCAAGGCATTTGTTTTATACCCTCTCATTTTCCTTCAAAGTCCTATCTCACTGGGTCATTTTCTGTTAACCTTCTCTTGCTCTAATGGTTTTCAGGGACAGGTTCCTTTAGTATCTGTGGAAGCCTTGCATCAACTCCATATCTTCATCTTTGTGCTAGCGGTTTTTCACGTCATCTTCTGTGCCTCAACTATGGTCCTTGGAGGAGCTAGGGTAACCAAAACAGCCTTGGAACTTTCTATTTAGAGGCTGTCTTTTTTTTTTTGGCTCTGATTATGTTATTTGATTTTAAATTATATGTAGATACAACAATGGAAGCATTGGGAGGATAGGTTCAAGAAACATCCTTCTCAAAAAGGTGAGAGTATTGTTACTCAAAAGGAATTTAACAATTAACGTGTTTTTTTTGCTGTCCTAAACACAAAATAAATAGATATTAAAATGTTGCAGAGGCACCTAGACGTGGTCATGCTCAGGCTCATCCTCACGCTCATGCCCTTCACGAATTATTTAACGCAAATCATGAGTTCTTCGCTATGCATGCTGGAGGATTCTGGAGAAGATCTGTTGTCATTAGCTGGCTGGTGAGTTGTGGATGCTAATGCCAAAACAAAAAAGTTACACACATAAAACAAAACTATCTACCAATTAAAGATGTTACTTGATTTCTGATGAGATTAGTCAATGTGTGATGTTGGTGCAGAGAGCATTCTTTAAACAGTTTTATGGTTCTGTCACCAAATCAGAATATATAGCTCTGCGACAAGGTTTCATCATGGTACCACTTTACTATCTCTATTTTCAACATGTTATTTCAGTTTTACCAAGTCTTTATGTAAAAATAAAAACCTTTGCAGACCCATTGCCCTACAAACCCATCATTTAATTTTCACAAGTACATGCTAAGAACACTGGAGATAGATTTCAAGAAAGTTGTGAGCATAAGGTAAAAATAATCAATAAGATCTTTTGGAAACACACACACCCAATGGCTTTATCAGCTTTGTCTAACATCATTTTATATTGATGTGATTATATAATGTAAAGCTGGTATCTCTGGCTATTTGTCGTTGTCTTCCTGCTGCTGAATGTAGGAGGATGGAATACTTACTTCTGGTTGTCTTTCTTGCCTTTGATCGTAAGTTTATTTTATTGGCAATCATACAGTTTCTTTTATTTCTTTAATGCTTACTTAATACTACTATGAAAATAAAACAAATGCAGTTATTACTAATGGTGGGTGCCAAATTGGAAAACATAATAAGTAGCTTAGCCGTAGATGTTTGCGAGAAGCGAAACCGTGCAGAAGAAGCAGTCATCACACCTTCTGATGAACTCTTTTGGTTCCATAAGCCAGAGATTATTCTCCAAATCATCCACTTCATTCTCTTTCAGAATTCATTTGAGATCGCTTTCTTCTTTTGGATTTTGGTACTTCACTTTCTTTCTCTTCCAACGTTTGTTTAACTTGGTACTTAAGATTGTTAGAAACAATAGCAAACTTTTTTTTTATGATTTTCTCCATTGTATTAACATCAGTTCACATACGGAATACATTCGTGTATCATGGAGAGACTAGGTTTCCTTATTCCACGGCTCGTCATGGGGTAATATAATACGTACTATTTTAAAGTAAAAATTAGTAAAGAAACCTTCTAAGGTTTTATATTTTGGTTTTGATATAATTAATTGACTCTTTGTTTGTACAGAGTGTTAGTCCAAGTGCTTTGCAGTTACAGCACGTTACCACTATACGCTCTTGTTACACAGGTAAGTAAAAGTACATGCATATCAAACCACATATGACATACATAGCAGCTGCATAACATAACCCAAGTAACAAATGTTTTTATTTATTAAAAGATGGGTAGCAAATTCAAGAAAGGGATATTCGACGACATGGTACAGTCAACACTCGACGTATGGTTGCAAGATACAAGGAGCAAAGGCGAATCCACGAGCCAGGCTGGCAGGTTGGAGATACAACCTGCCACTCCTGAATCTTATAATGTCCAGGTCAATGAAGTCACTGAATGTGAAAACACTTAAGTTGCAATGTATGTCCAAGTCCAACAAGATCCGCCACACCAACCCTTAACTCGTTATAACATCTCCACTAGATCGTTCTGCTATATGCTACTTTTAGAGCTCTCATCACAAGATCGTGTCCATCTGTTTGGCACTGCACTGAACCCATCTTTTTACTAATCCCTTACATAAAGCTTTATAATCTTTTATGTTGATAAAGTCAACTATGTTTTTTATGTTACCGTTCATTAATTAGATTATGTAAAATTTTACATGATAGTAGCCAACTGTTGACCATTGATGAAACCTCCAATAGCAAATTTATAATCAAATATGTCAACTCAATCTTGAATTACCCAAATTATTAAATTAAAACTACAAACATTATACTGTAGTTATACTTTCAGCAGATAAAAGAAAAGAAAATCAAATTTGAATATATATAATTATATTTTCCTAATAATTAAATAAACGAAAAGGACATTCACATGATTCAACTTCCATCAAGAGTCAAGATCCACAACGTTCTTCTCTCGTCTCTATCTTTGCCCTCTATTTTCTCCCATATTAAAAAGCATAATAAAGCAAAAAGCAAGAATATAAAAAAGTACAGTCTAGGGCCCACACTGTCGTTGACTAATCTAGATTGAGGATAGACAGACACACAACTAGTTGGGTCACTTCAAACTCAGATCTAACGGTTCAGATTTCACGGCGGCAACGACTGAGTTTAAAGAGTTTTGTCATGATGCGTCTCGAGCACCATAGCATGGTTGTGGTCTCCTTCGTACGTCACGATAAGCATCATCGCGTCGTCGGGTGCACGCTCCACATGCTTACGCGCCGGACACCCTCTCATGCTGCTGCACTTGTAGTAACCCCTGAATAAAACCGAGTCCAGATCGAGTTTAGTTCAAATTTATCAAACACGAGTCAACTCGGTTTTGTATTTTATACGTTTTTTTCAAAAAATAGTAGAAAACAAACAACAAGTCAAAAAGAGCGTGAACCCACTAGTACTAGACGACACGTTTGGTACAACCAATATAGAAAAGAATACAAAAAATTAGTTTTTCTACCAGGTAATATTTGACAATACACAAGTTGCCCCAGGTTTATTTCTTTTATAATCCTTTGGTGATTATAAAACTTCCGAAACTCAACATCTACGGCTTAAAACATGTAAATCAGAAATTTGGATGGTTATTTAAACAGTATATATATATATATATATATATATATTACAACAATATATTAAGATAGTATAGCAATTTTTATACGGTTTAGAAAGTGATTAATCACGTTTTTGAAGAGTTTACTACTTTCTACTTTATAGAGTTTAACGCCTAGAGACAGTCTAAAACAACTGTCTAAAACGCTTTTTAGTATCCCAACAAATGAAATAAAATAAAAAACTAAATTAGAAACTAACCGAGGATGAGGAGAGCCTTTGATGGGTTTTTGACCGTATTTTCTCCATGAATACTCATCTGATGGAATATCAGCCATCTTGCTGCTTACAGCAGGAACTCTAACTTCTCTCTTCACTCTAGATTTTCTGTTTATTTATTACCATTAATAGAACATAATTAATGTTTAAATCACCTCTAGATTTAGATCTAAAAATATATAAAAAGAAAACATTTAAATTAGGATATTAAGTAACCTTTTCTTAGAACAATGGCAACGCCCTGAGGGGGATGAACTACACTTTCTCTTCAACGAAGCTGATGATAAAGGAGGCTTACCCCTCGAACCCGAGAACTGAGACGATGGGTTAGTGAACTCGAATCCTGACGACACATGGTTACTCTCGCTCTCACATCTATGAGAAGACACCGGTGGGGACGGTGCGAAGTGTATCGTCGAAGAAGGTGGTTCTTGGTTTGGTCTTCCTAACGGAGCAGACATAGAAGAACCGTTCTTTGTCTGAGTGTGGTTGTGTGATAGAGGAGGACGTCGATGTATCGGAGTCGGACAGTAAACTCTAAACGCAGATCCACCGTGCTTCTCTGTTGTCTGTCCGTTCAACACGACTGTTGCTGTTGTTGGCTTCTTCTCTGTCTTCACAACTTCTTCTTCTTCTGGTTTTGTTGTTGTCCTCAGGGGACCTCGTCTGAACCTAGCGTGTCCGGTTGTAGATCTACCGAGGAGAGATATCACTTTTTTGAAACTGTTAACGGCGACGTCAGTCACAGCCGTTATCTCGGTTTTTTTCTCCTCCGTCTGTTGACTTTGACCGATTAGTTTAAGAAGCTCCTCAACGCCGTGGATACCAGCAGAAGCAGCTTCTTTTAAGGCTGTGTCTTCTTTCTCAGCAGATAAGCCACCGTCTTCTCGTTTGACTCTGCCGGCACCGTAGCTGCTGCTCATCATTAGCTCCACCGTCATATCTTACACTCAAAAAAGTCAAAAACTATATAATAAAGATAGAGTTTGGTTTTTCTTGTATTCTTTTCTTCTCTCTTTGGAGTTGTTTAAAGAAGGAAGATGATGAAGAGAGCACCGAGTAAAAGGAGAGAAGAAACGAAAGGGTGAGTCAACTCAACTCAAATGTGGTTCTCTCTCTCTTTAAAGGGGATGAAGATAGTGCATCAGTCAAATAGAATACCAATGAGAGAGCTACACGTGTATCGATTTTGTCAAGCGTTTTGACACTCTCCAACGTCAATGATTTTGATAATGGAATTGGAACCAGTGGAGCTGAATATAATTTATTCGTTTAGTGTTTTAAAATTTTATTCGAAAAATCTAGATATTCGATGCAAACATTTTAAAAGTATACCATTCGTATATAATACACCGATTTAGAAACTTTTTTTCTTGACATGTTTTTTTTTTTAAAACTCACTATCATTTTGTTATGGTAGATATTCGGTCTGACCAGTTATTTTAAAATAGCGATAGTGGAATAGATGTCTTTTCTAATGGTTTTCATCAGCCAATAATAGATTTTAGAATTAATACTACTATCTAATTTGGACTAAGATATTAAAAGTACCAAATTAGAAATGGAATTGAAGATAGAAAATTAGGGGTTTCATTCACTGAAAATACTTATAACATTCATTCAAAGTGTTTAAATCAAGAATTTTATCTATTTTAGTAAATTCTAGACCATCTATGTTTTGAGTTTTATTTCTACTTTATAAATGTTTTTTTCGTTCAAACCATAACGCTTCTACAACTTCTATTTTTGACTCGTGGATGGCGTAATATTCTTCGTTACCTTTACCGTTCATATTGTAACGTTTCCATGATTTCTATCTTTTTGACTCATGTATCATACAATTTATCAAATTTTATTTTTTGCTGACAAAAAAAATCGAATTTTATTTTTTCTTTATTAATGATTATTTTTCATTCACATTATAACGCTTATGCAACTTCTATCTTATTAATTCGTGAATCGTACAATTTATCAGATTATATTTTTGTTTAATTAATAATTATTTTTCATTCACATTATAATGCTTCTACAACTTTTATCTTGTTAACTCGCAGATCGTATAATTTATCAGATTCTATTTTTTTCATTAATAATTATTTTTCGTTTATATTATAACGCTTCTACAATTTCTACTTTCTTGACTCGTGAATCGTTCAATTTATCAGATCTTATATCGGATTGTTTCATGGTTAAATCCACCTCCTACATATCCTTTCTCTAGAACATCAAAAGAACAAGAACAAAAATAAGAGTAAACTCTAAAAAACAGTGGGTTCATTTTGCCTGGCGTATAATGGGCTTAGTTAAGCCCATTAAGTATGTTTAGAAGTCCACATAATGGGTTTCGTTAGACCCATTAAGTGTATATAGAAGTCCAAAGAAAAAGATCCACTGGGAGAAACAAAAGAAAAAAAGCGGCGCGGTGCATTAGGAGAGCCACTTGGGCGAAGAGGATAAGCGTAGACCGTAACAGCCAAGTCAGCATTGACATAGGTTTAGGAGTTGAGAAGTCCTGTTACTGTCGGACCCGCTATGTCTGCAATAAAAGCCGAAGAAGTCTCCACGAATATGCTTTCTTCTTCTCTTTCGTTTATTCCTTTCTTCCTTCATAGATCCTAAGC